GCATTTCTGTGTACGAACCCACACGATCTCTTCGATCATCTGGAGAGGCTCTGCTCTCGCTCCCACTTCCTTCGCAGGTGCAATTGGTGGGAATGAGGGAGAAGGCCTTCTCGGTGGTGGCCCGACTCTGGAACTCACTCCCCAAGGATATCAGACAAGCCCCCACATTGAAATGTTAGGAGGGAGGGGGCCGATCTGATATCCCTAGGGAGGGTATTCCATAGCTGAGGGGCCATCGCTGAGAAGGCCCTGTCTCTTGTTCTCACCAATAATCTCTGCAAAGGAGGCGAGACAGAGAGCAGGGCCTCCCTAGACGATCTTAAGCTCCTAGCTGGTTCATAGGGGGAGATACATTAGAATTTTGCTCGGAAGTGGAACGAAGACAAGTCAAACCCACATTTTGGACTTTAGGAGAGCTGATTTCCAAAAAATGAAGGAAACACTGAGCAGCATTCCGTGGACACAGATACTAAAAGACAAGGGAGTTACGGATGGATGGGAGTTTCTCAAGAGTGAAATACTCAAGGCGCAATTGCAAACTGTGCCAACAAAGAGAAAAAATAGGACAAGTGCAAAGAAGCCAGAATGGATGTCCAAAGAACTTCTAACTGTGCTAAGACACAAAAGAGACATGCACAAGAAGTGGAAAAAGGGAGAAATCACCAAAGAAAAATTCAAACAAATAGCCAACACCTGTAGGGAAAAGGTCCGCAAGGCTAAAGCACAAAACGAGCTCAGGCTTGCCAGGGACATTAAAAACAATAAAAAGGGCTTCTATTCTTATGTCAGTAGAAAAAGGAAAAACAAGGACGCGATAGGACCTCTTCGAGGAGAAGATGGGGCAATGCTGACAGGGGACAGGGAAAAGGCAGAACTACTTAATGCCTTCTTTGCCTCGGTCTTCTCACAAAAAGAGAGTCTTCAACCTCAGCAAGATGGAGTGGATGAGGGATTGGAGGACATCCAACCCCAAATTGGGAAAGAAGTCGTCCAGGAATACCTGGCCGCTCTTAATGAGTTCAAGTCCCCAGGGCCAGATCAACTACACCCAAGAGTATTGAAGGAACTAGCGGAAGTCATTTCGGAACCATTGGCAACCATCTTTGAGAGTTCTGGGAGAACGGGAGAAGTTCCAGCAGATTGGAGGAGGGCCAATGTGGTCCCAATCTTCAAGAAGGGAAAAAAGGATGACCCAAACAACTACCGTCCGGTCAGCCTCACGTCGATACCGGGCAAGATTCTGGAAAAGATTGTCAAGGAAGCGGTCTGCAAACACTTAGAAACAAATGCAGTCATCGCTAATAGTCAACATGGATTTATCAAAAACAAGTCATGCCAGACTAATCTGATCTCTTTCTTCGATAGAGCTACAAGCTGGGTAGATGCGGGGAATGCCGTGGATGTAGCGTACCTGGATTTCAGTAAGGCCTTCGACAAGGTCCCCCATGACCTTCTGGCAAGGAAACTAGTCCAATGTGGGCTAGGCAAAACTACGGTGAGGTGGATCTGTAATTGGTTAAGTGGACAAACACAGAGAGTGCTCACTAATGCTTCCTCTTCATCTTGGAAAGAAGTGACAAGTGGAGTGCCGCAGGGTTCCGTCCTGGGCCCGGTCCTGTTCAACATCTTTATTAATGACTTAGATGAAGGGCTAGAAGGCATGATCATCAAGTTTGCAGACGACACAAATTGGGAGGGATAGCCAATACTCCAGAGGACAGGAGCAGAATTCAAAACGATCTTGACAGATTAGAGAGATGGGCCAAAACTAACAAAATGAAGTTCAACAGTGACAAACGCAAGATACTCCACTTAGGCAGAAAAAACAAAATGCAAAGATACAAAATGGGGGACGCCTGGCTCGAGAGCAGTACGTGTGAAAAAGATCTTGGAGTCCTCGTGGACAACAAGTTAAACATGAGCCAACAATGTGATGTGGCGGCAAAAAAAGCCAATGGGATTTTGGGCTGCATCAATAGGAGCATAGTGTCTAGATCTAAGGAAGTAATGCTACCCCTCTATTCTGCTTTGGTTAGACCACATCTGGAATATTGTGTCCAATTCTGGGCACCACAATTCAAGAGAGATATTGACAAGCTGGAATGTGTCCAGAGGAGGGCGACTAAAATGATCAAGGGTCTGGAGAACAAGCCCTATGAGGGGCGGCTTAAGGAGCTGGGCATGTTTAGCCTGAAGAAGAGAAGGCTGAGAGGAGATATGATAGCCATGTATAAATATGTGAGAGGAAGCCACAGGGAGGAGGGAGCAAGCTTGTTTTCTGCTTCCTTGGAGACTAGGACGCGGAACAATGGCTTCAAACTACAAGAGAGGAGGTTCCATCTGAACATGAGGAAGAACTTCCTGACTGTGAGATCTGTTCAGCAGTGGAACTCTCTGCCCCGGAGTGTGGTGGAGGCTCCTTCTTTGGAAGCTTTTAAACAGAGGCTGGATGGCCATCTGTCAGGGGTGCTTTGAATGCAATATTCCTGCTTCTTGGCAGGGGGTTGGACTGGATGGCCCATGAGGTCTCTTCCAACTCTTTGATTCTATGATTCTATGATTCTACAACAGGGGGGTGAGGATGCTCCCTGTATGTTGCTCCAGTGAGTAATCTGGCTGCCGCCCATTGGACTAGTTGAAGTTTCCAAACAGTCTTCAAAGGCAGCCCCATGTAGAGTGCCTTGCAGTAATCTATTCAGGATGTAACAAGAGTGTGGACCACCATAGCCAGATCAGACTTCCCAAGTACGGGTGCAGCTGTCGCTCAAGTTTTAACTGTGCAAAAGCTCCCCTGGCCACCACCGAAACCTGGGGTTCCAGGCTCAGTGATGAGTCCAGGATCACTCCCAAGCTGCGAACCGGCGTCTTCATGGGGAGTGTAACCCCATCCAACACAGGCTGTAACCCTATGCCCTGTTCGGCCTTTTGACTGACCAGGAGTATCTCTGTCTTGTCTGGATTGAATTTCAATTTGTTAGCCCTCATCCGGTCCGACTCAGCTGCCAAGCACCCCAAAAGGGCTGTAAAACCCATCTTATCTTCAAATATATACAGTAAGCCAGAACAGGATGATTGTCTCCCCAAGCTAACACCTCACCTAGCAAGATTACCCCATTTTTTCACGATGGTTTATTAGTGCTCAGATCATCCTCATCACGACAACACTCCCCGGTACCTGCTGGGATGGAGGCAGCTTCCTTCTGCAGAGGACTGACCTGTAATTAATCCTGTGGTCTTTTTATCCAGTCTGTCGTTAAAATGCTACAATGGTGGTACAGCCGCCAGATGTTTTTTCTCTTTCTCTTTTCTTCCAGGAAAAAAAGGGCAAATCTTGATTATTATTAAATGCACATGCTGGGTTTTCATCTTATTGATTGCATAATAGATCAACTGCAAAAATAATTTTACCTGTGAAAACCCCGAGGGGAAGAGGAAAGCAAACCACCTGCTGTCTGCAATCCTGCTTTGTAATTTTTGGAAAAAAGTAAACAGAATCAGTGATGTGAACCTACTGAAAGGAATGAAAAAAAGCAAAAGCACAATAAAAGTGTCCTTGCCACTACACATAAAAACAGAGAGGAAAAGAAATTGGGAACGGAAGTACCAGATACGTGCAAAACATCCTTAAGAGATATTTAGGCATTTCTATATTCAGCTAGTTTAACAGGCACTGATAACAGGCACTGATACACTGTTTACACTGAAGTGTAAACAGTGAATTATGGTGGTTATATCTAGGCCTGCCACCAAATTAAGCAAAACGTAGTCAATCCATCAGCCACATATTGTAAATCCATACAATATAAATCCAGCAATATAAGTGCTGTTATGCAGTCTTTGGGAATGTTTGTTTGTTTGTCATGTCAGAGCAACCAGTCCATTATATTACATTTCTAACAGAACAAAGCCAACAAACAGACAAATACAAAACTTGTGAGTTTGGTAGTTGATTAAATGTCCTTTGACCAGTATCTGGCCCCTTGGCGTGCCTCTGGTGTTGCTGCAAGAAGGTCCTCCATTGTGCATGTGGCAGGGCTCAGGTTGCATTGAAGCAGGTGGTCAGTGGTTTGCTCTCTCCACACTCGCATGCCGAGGATTCCACTTTGTAGCCCCATTTCTGAAGGTTGGCTCTGCATCTCGTGGTGCCAGAGCGCAGTCTGTTCAGCGCCTTCCAAGTCGCCCAGTCCTCTGTGTGCCCAGGGGGGTCTCTCATTTGGTATCAGCCATTGGTTGAGGTTCTGGGTTTGGCCTGCCACTTTTGGACTCTCGCTTGCTGAGGTGTTCCAGCAAGTGTCTCTGTAGATCTTAGAAAACTATTTCTAGATTTAAGTCGTTGACGTGCTGGCTGAAACCCAAACAAGGGATGAGCTGGAGATGTCTCTGCCTTGGTCCTTTCACTATTGGCTGCTACTTCCCGGCGGATGTCAGGTGGTGCAATACCGGCTAAGCAGTGTAATTTCTCCAGTGGTGTAGGGCGCAGACACCCTGTGATAATGCGGCATGTCTCATTAAGAGCCACATCCACTGTTTTAGTGTGGTGAGATGTGTTCCACACTGGGCATGCGTACTCAGCAGCAGAGTAGCACAGCGCAAGGGCAGATGTCTTCACTGTGTCTGGTTGTGATCCCAGGTTGTGCCAGTCAGCTTTCGTATGATATTGTTTCTAGCACCCACTTTTTGCTTGATGTTCAGGCAGTGCTTCTTGTAGGTAAGAGCATGGTCCAGAGTGACTCCCAGGTATCTGGGTGTGCTGAAAAGGTCCGTTGGTTGTTTTGCTTGCTTGCTTGCATGCTGGTCACTTCTGTGGCGAGAGAATCAGCCATCTACGAAGACGTTGCCCAGGGGACACCCGGATGTCTTGCAATCCTGCGAGGAGGCTTCTCTCATGTCCCCTTAAAGAATGGTTTCATTGTAAGACTGGGATAATAAACTTTGTAAATGTACAAATAAATGTCAGTGCTGTTCATCTGATATCTTTCTTTTTTCCCCCTTATCAACAGAGGGTCTTGATCTCATCCTTATGCCAGGACTTGGTTTTGACAAACATGGCAACCGACTGGGAAGAGGAAAGGGGTACTATGACGCCTACCTGAGCAGGTGTATGCAGCACCCCAAAGGAAAGCCGTACACAATTGCCTTAGCTTTCAAAGAACAAATGTGCGAAGCCATCCCCACATCCGAATATGACGTGAAAGTTGATGAAATCCTGTACGAAGAAAGTAAATGCTGATCACTTCAATAAATGCCATAGATGAACACATGAGAATGTTTGAAAATGGATTCTTAAACATCCTTATTCACTATCATTGTTGGGATATTGAGTGTTAACTGATATGCGTGAATGGCTTTCCACAAGTGATCTCCGACTTAGTAGTTTCATTGTGTGTAGAATAGTCATTATTTCAAATAAAGAAAGACTATAGGTAACAGTGGTCCACGCTCTTGTCACATCCCGAATAGATTACTGCAACGCGCTGTACATGGGGTTGCCCTTGAAGACTGTTCGGAAACTTCAATTAGTCGCAACGGGCGGCACTGGAGCGTCATACAGGGAGCACACCACCCCCTGTTATGTCAGCTCCACTGGCTACTGATCCAATTCCGAGCATAATTCAAAGTGCTGGTTTTGACCTATAAAACCCTATATGGCTCGGTCCAGCGTACCTGTCCGAACTGTATCTCCTTCTATGTCCCACCTCGGAGTTGAAGATCTTCTGGGGAGGCCTTGCTCTTGGCCCCGCCTCTGTCGCAAACGCGCTTGGTGGGGACGAGGGACAGGGCCTTCTCGGTGGTGGCCCCCCGCCTGTGGAATTCACTCCCTGGGGAAATTAGGTCATTGTCATCCCTCCTCACCTTTAGAAAGAAGTTAAAAACATGGATGTGGGACCAGGCCTTCAGGTAATTAGGCGGAAACGACAATGACAGTGGCTTGGAAATGTACTATGGATTAAGTTATGGAGCATCCGATCACAGAATTCGGCTAGATAACGGCCACCAGACTGGAAATTCTTAGTAGATTTTAATTGTATTGTTTTAATGTTTTTAACTATTTATAATTATTGATTGTTATATATTTTATTATATACTAGCTGTCCCCTGCCACGTTGCTGTGGCCCACATGGGGGTTCTGTGTGGGAGGTTTGGCCCAATTCTATCGTTGGTGGGGTTCAGAATGCTCTGTGATTGTAGGTGAACTATAAATCCCAGCAATTACAACTCCCAAATGTCAAGATTCTATTTTCCCCAAACTCCACCAGTGTTCACATTGGGGCATATTGAGTCTTCGTGTAGAGTTTGGTCCAGACTCATCATTGTTTGAGTCCACAGTGCTCTCTGGATGTAGGTGAACTACAACTCCAAAACCAAAGGACGCTGCCCACCAAACCCTTCCAGTATTTTCTGTTGGTCATGGGAGTCTGTGTGCCAAGTTTGGTTCAATTCCATCATTGGTGGGTAGAATGCTCTTTGATTGTAGGTGAACTATAAATCCCAGCAACTACAACTCCCAAATGACAAAATCAATTTTTTTGAGTGAAAGACATACATTGGGTTGTTAGGTGTCTTGTGTCCAAATTTGGTGTCAATTCGTCCAGTGGTTTTTGAGTTCTGTTAATCCCACAAACGAACATTACATTTTTATTTATATAGATACTAGCTTTACCCGCCACGCGTTGCTGTGGCCAACCTTCTCTCCCTCTTTCTCTCCTTCTTTCACTCCTTCCTTCATTTCCTTTTCTTCTTTCCTTTCTTCCTTCTCTACCTGTTTACTTCCTTCCTTAGCTTTTTGCTCCCATCCTTCCTTCTCTTTATTTCTTTCCTTCCCTCCCTCTTTCTCTCCTTCTTTCTCTTCTTCCTTTGCTCCGTCTTTCCTCCCTTCCCTTTTTTCTTTCCTTTTCTCCTCCTTCCTTCTCTTCCTCTTTCCTTCCTCCTCCCTTTTTATTTTCCTTCCTCTTTCTCTGGTGGGAGGAGGTAAGGTTGGCGTATGGGCGTTTAGGGGCGGGGCGGGGGAGGGTGGGGGTGTGGTGTGAACGTGGAAGGGTGGGGGCGTGGTCAATGTGGAAGGGTGGGGGGGGATGGCGTGACGGGGAGGGTGGGGGCGTGGCCAGGGGGAGAAGAAGGAGGGGGAGGAGGTAAGGTTGGGGTATGGGCGTTGGAGGGTAGGGGCGTGTTTCCTCTCTGTTGTTGTGCTGTTGTAATTTTAGAGTTTTTTTAAAATACTGGTAGCCAGATTTGGACCACTCTGACAACTACCATGTCAGACTACACAGAGAAGTCACTGAAATCCGCAAGCGTGTGGACAATTTCAACAGAAAGGAAGAAAACATGAAAATGCACAAAATCTGGCTACCAGTATTAAAAAACTCTAAAATTACAACAGCAAAACAACAGAGAGGAAACAATCAGGCACATCTAATCACCTATCAACAAAAGATTGCCCCAGGCACTGCCATGCCATCAAATGCTAATCAAGGTGGTCAGTTGAAACATTCACACCTCGCTCCAACAGACAAGAGTCCTTTGTCCCACCCTGGTCATTCCACAGATATATAAACCCATTTCCTAGTTCCAACAGACCTCACTACCTCTGAGGATGCTTGCCATAGATGCAGGCGAAACGTCAGGAGAAAATGCCTCTAGAACATGGCCATATCCCGGAAAAACCTACAACAACCCAGTGATTCCGGCCATGAAAGCCTTCGACAACAAGGAAGTTCTCGCAGCTCAAGCCCTGCTTGCATTTCTCTTCCAAAGTGGAGTAAATTAATCTGTTGTGAACCTAACTCCGGCTGCCTGTTACTGTTCAGCTCAAAAGGAAGGTGCCAAGAGTGTGAAGTGCAAGCTGATAATTATTTTGACAGATGCATCGCAAAGGACCAGCCTGAGTGCAACCTTCAGTATTGCAATAGCCCCTGGTAATTGGTCCGATTAACAGAGCTAATTAGAATGCATTACACATTCCAAACACAGAGCTCACATTTCCCTTTTTTGTCATATGCATTTTCCAGACAAGGAAAGATTTAAAATAAATACAACTGGTTTGGGATTCCCTGAGGACATCCACAGCAATTAATGATACTTGCGCTCCTCTCAAGAACAAGCAGCAGCTACTCTTAAACCAGCAAAATTAATTAATCAGAGGTCTTAATTCATTTTTAAAAGTCATAGGTTCGGAAATGTGTACACATAGAGATTGTGCATACATTACACAAAACAAAACGTTACATGCAATATTCCCACTGCAGTATTTCAAATTATTATTGATGCTCCTGCTGTGCTACTTGTTAATTGAAAAACCTGGTCAGGCTCACAAGAAAGGAAATAAATGGCAAGAGGATCCCATAGTAAAGGTAACATATTGTCGAAGGCTTTCATGGCCGGAATCACTGGATTGTTGTAGGTTTTTTCGGGCTATATGGCCATGTTCTAGAGGCATTCTCTCCTGACGTTTCGCCTGCATCTATGGCAAGCATCCTCAGAGGTAGTGAGGTCTGATGGAACTAGGAAAAAGGGGTTTATATGTCTGTGGAATGACCAGGGTGGGACAAAGAACTCTTGTCTACAGGAGCTAGGTGTGAATGTTTCAACTGACCACCTTGATTAGCATATAATGGCCTGACAGTGCCTGGAGCAAACTTTTGTTGAGAGGTGATTAGATGTCCTTGTTTGTTTCCTCTCTGTTGTTGTGCTGTTGCAATTTTAGAGTTTTTTTTTAATACTGGTAGCCAGATTTTGTTCATTTTCATGGTTTCCTCCTTTCTGTTGAAATTGTCCACATGCTTGTGTATTTCAATGGCTTCTCTGTGTAGTCTGACATGGTGGTTGTTAGAGTTGAAATCCAGAAGCATGTGGACAATTTCAACAGAAAGGAGGAAACCATGAAAATGAACAAAATCTGGCTACCAGTATTAAAAAAAACTCTAAAATTACAACAGCAACAACAGAGAGGAAACAATCAGGGACATCTAATCACTTCTCAACAAAAGATTGCCCCAGGCACTAACAAGCCACACCAAACAACTGCCAGGCCATCAAATGCTAATCAAGGTGGTCAGTTGAAACATTCACACCTAGCTCCAGCAGACAAGAGTTCTTTGTCCCACCCTGGTCATTCCACAGATATATAAACCCATTTTCCTAGTTCCAACAGACCTCACTACCTCTGAGGATGTTTTTTGTCGTGTCAGGAGTGACTCCTGGTGTGAGAGAATTGGCCGTCTGCAAGGACGTTGCCCAGGTGACACCCGGATGTTTGATGTTTTAACATCCTTGTGGGAGGCTTCTCTCATGTCCCGGCATAAGGAGCTGGAGCTGATAGAGGGAGCTCATCCGCCTCTCCCCGGATTCGAACCTGCGACCTGTCGGCCTTCAGTCCTGCCGGCACAGGGCTTTAACCCACTACACCACCACGGGCTCCACACCTCTGAGGATGCTTGCCATAGATGCAGGCAAAACGTCAGGAGAGAATGCCTCTAGAACATGGCCATATAGCCCGAAAAAAAACCTACAACAACCCAGTAAAGGTAAAGGTTTTCCCCTGACATGAAGTCCAATTGTGTCTGACTCTGGGGTGTGGTGCTCATCTCTATTTCTAAAGTCGGAGAGCTAGTGTTGTCCATAGACACCTCCAAGGTCATGTGGCCAACATGACTACATGGAGCACCGTTACCTTCCCACCCGAGTGGTACCTATTTATCTACTCACATTTGCATGTTTTTGAACTGCTAGGTTGGCAGAAGCTGGGGCTGACAGCGGATGCTCATTCTGCTCCCTGGATTCGAACCTGTGACCTTTCGGTCAACAAGCTCAGCAGCTCAGCGCTTTAACCCACTGCGCCACCGTGGGCTCCCTTGAGGCTTCCATATCAACCCACAAACTCATAAAATATCCTGCTTCAGTAGTAATTTTTGGCAACACGAATGATTGACAACTGGGAAATAGAGGGAGAAAACGTGGAGGCAGTGACAGACTTTGTATTTCTAGGTGCAAAGATTACTGCAGATGCAGACTGTGGCCAGGAAACCAGAAAGATGCTTCCTTCTTGGGAGGAGAGCAATGACCAATCTCGATAAAATAGTGAAGAGTAGAGACATCACATTGGCAACGAAGATCCGCATAGTCAAAGCAATGGTATTCCCCATAGTCACCTATGGATGTGAGAGCTGGACCACAGGGAAGACTGAGCGAAGGAAGATGGATGCTTTTGAACTGTGGTGTTGGAGGAAAGTTCTGAGAGTGCCTTGGACAGCCAGAAGATCCAAC